TTTCTTTCCTTTCTTTCTTTCTTTCCTTTCTTTCTTTCTTTCTTTCCTTTCTTTCTTTCTTTCCTTTCTTTCTTTCCTTTCTTTCTTTCTTTCTTTCTTTCTTTCTTTCTTTCTTTCTTCCGACCCATTATTATTTCATTTGTTGCCTTTATTTGCCTTACTGAGGAATACAGAGTTCTTACTACTAGTGAGACTAAGAGTGCCAAGCAACGTGCCCTTTGTCACACGCTTAATGAATATATCTCTGAAAGGTGGAAGGTTTTGATCTCATCTTTAAACCTTCCCTCTTCCCAAGAGTGAGATGTCTCACTTCAGTAGTTTCCTGCTCTGCTTTCCAAATCAACTTGTTCTGGGCTTGTTGAGCAGGAGCTACACATACTCGTCAAATCCCAATTCTCCATTTGCTATATGGGGAATTCCCAGCCCTGAGGGCTTAAATGACTTCAATATAAATGGGTTCCTACAGTTCCTTGCTCACAAGACAAGGAAACCTTTTCAGGGTTTTGTACTTCATGCAGTAAAATTTGATTTGTATTATGTGCAGTGAAAATGAACGGTAATAATACTCTGCTGTAGGAGCGGATAATGTATTTGCCAGACCATTATTCAGACTGCTTGGGTGGGTTCTGGTTTGAGATCAAGTCACCTACTTCAACATTTCTACATGTGAGATATGTGCTTCAAATCCTGCTACAGCTGATGATAATCCAGGGCTCACTTTGGTTAATGATACACTGATGCTTAGCACTGCTTTAGTCATCCTGCCGTGTCCTCTGGGTCTCAATCTTCTTTCTGCTCTAGGGCTGCACAGCCCCAAGGCTTATCGACCAGCTGTTCTGGGTGTCACATGTGCTCTAGAGCTTCTCAAATGTCACTGGACTCTATGTGAGGGCAACTGAATGCAGCCCCAAGTCAACACAGACAGCGATGTCTGGAGAGTTATTGACATCACCAGGATGTGTAGACTTTAGTTACCTAAACATATGCGTTTAGTACCACACCAAGGTGTCCAGAATATCCACATGGAGCTGGCAAGTGTAACAAAACAGCTGTAGAGACCTTCCTTCTGAAGTGGCAGATGGAGGCCAAGCAGGGCGTTGGACCTTGACCTTGGACCATGTCAAATAGCACTAGATACCTGTGCTTAGGCAACTTGATCATACTCTGATCCTTATTCAGACCTTTACCTTTATGGCAGAGTTTAGGCTGCTTGAGGGGACATTGCATCACTGTCTCTGTTGACTGTACTAATTACATCTCTGGTCACTGAAATAGAAGCTTAGAAACCAACTCACATGTAGATACCTGCAGTATTCTAATCTCCCACTGAATCTCACCCTTTCTCCCAGGAGTAGCTAGGAACTCATAGGAAAGCAGGGCTATAGTAATGGTAGAGAGGAAGAAGTCCTTTCCTAAACTAGAAAAAATAGTCTTGCTGAGGTTCCTGAGACCACTGTGATGGGCACAAAGTTAAGGTCTAGATGAGCGTCTCCACAGTGCAGCATCATTAGAGGCAGAAGAGCTGGCATGTCCACCTAGCACTGAGCTATGGGCAGCATAACACCGTTGTGTAGGTTG